ACTTTCTGAATCCTTTATCATCTGCAACTGAAAATAGTTGTGGATGATTACTATACCTTTCTAATCTGACGTTGTTGTCCCTGGCTCTCTTTCTCTGTCTCTCCCTCCCGTTCTGTTCCTGTGCTACTGCCAGTGTAACTACCCCCCCTCCTCCCTCTGCCCAGCGCAAAGCACAAGGTTCGTATGCGGAGTGAAATGGAAAAAAGTGTGAGAGAGAGAGAAAGAAAAAAAAACAAAACACGGCTCACGATAAGGAGCCGGCTCGCGTTGTTCACGTCAAAGATCCGGCTCTAAGAGCCGTTTCGTTCGCGACCGACACATCACTAGTCTCAAGACTCTCCTTTTCAACACTGCCATATTGCACAACTGACAGCATGCATTACAAAGTAATTGACATGGAAATATCCCAAATAAAATACAAATTCGCTTCCATCTGTTGTTAAAGCTCCAAATTAAATGTACATCTCTTCACAACAGTCAAGCCTGCTGTGACTATAGCCTTGAGTCAGCTCTCCCACTCACTGTCAGTGGAACTGCTTCACAATAATCTTCCAAATTACAATCTCAGCAGGACTCTCTGGTTTCCAGTTGTGGTAAACACTTTAAATCTGTCCATTGTACAAAACCATTTTTCTCCTAGCATAACATGTTTTATTTGAGCTATAGCTGGAGTCATGTCATTAATCCAAACCACATGCATGCGTACACACACTCCTATACACGAGGTAAACTGGTAAAAGCAATTTAAATTATTGCATATTAACACATTAACACATTAACAAAAGATCATGGTGCAGTTCTCCATAGAAGGTAATCATTATTAGACTTACCGCTGTCTTCTTTCCCACATTTGTTGCATGGAGCTTTATGCTCCAAAGCAAGCAAATTAATGTTAATGTGCAAGTTATGTTACATGATCTGATTTCACACATGCAACATTTGATATGTGAGTCAGAGCAGGTAGGTAAAAACCCTAAATCTCAGGGCGATCTCAGGTACCTTGAGCTTCCATGGGATTTTGCGGAAGCCCGGTAGGGTGAAGAGGCTCCATAATCCGTACAGGCCTGTAAGCAGAGCACCTGTGCAGGCTGAGAAGATGGGATGAGGTCTGTTGGTAGGGAAGACCCCGCTATAGTTTTGCAGGATTACTTCAATGGAGTCTTCCATGGCAAACTGTGGCAGGAGGGGTTAAAATACAGCAAATAAGTGGAAATATTACTGCAGCCTATATGAAGCAAAATGCTGCTTGTATTTGAGATATTCTGAGTAACTTACTCTCTGTTGTAATAAAAGGAAACTGATTTATTCATGTAGAGTAATACTGATTATTTTAAACATAGATAAAGATACAGGGTTTCAGAAGTATTTTTGTGATAGTGGTTTGGTCCTTCAGAAATTGTCTCAGTGGAAGGGTGGCTGTCTAGAAGCAATTCTTAAGGAAGGAAAAGAGCGAGAAAAGGCTGAGGTATGACCAATTACACAAGAGGAGATCAGGAGAACAGTGAGCGTCTACAGCCATCTAAAAAAAAAAATAACACGGTGGAAACTCTGCCATAGTTTGGAGCTGCATTTACAGCCTGTGATGCTGGAAATTGTGTCAGAATCTATTAAATTATGAATGCAGAAAAGTCCTGTTAGATTTTGATCCACCGTGCAACACATTGTGGAAAGAATCTGATTGGTGACAGCTTCATTTTTCAGCATCACAATGATCCCAAACACACTGCTAATAAAGTAAAAGCAAGCATGAATAGAAAAAGACACACAGTGGATCACCATCAGTCATGAATTGGTTTCCCCAGAGCCCGGACCTCAACATTACTTAATCAGTGTCGGATCATCTTGACAGAGAACGGAAAAAAATACAACAAACATTAAAAGAAGGGCTTTGAGCGTTTCAAGAAGCCTGGAAAACAATTAAGACTTCAAGACTATGTAATCAAATTACCAGAAAGCTCGTCTACAAGAGTTCAGTGTATGTTGAAAAATAAAAGAAGACATCCCAAACGTGGACTTTCAAGCTCATTAGAATTGTACAAACTCCTGCTTTTGCCTTATATACTGCATTTCCATGCATGTTTGCACATGTTTCAACAAATTGCAGTGTCTATTTTCCATTTTCCTAGCAAAATATAAAGAAAAGAGGAGAGGCTCGAGGCTTTTCAGCACTGTGGTTATCAGAGCAGTTAGAGACAACAAAATTGCAGATTTCAATAAATTCACTGTGATTATCTGGCTCGACATTTTCCATTTCATAAACAAATATCCTATATAATAAAGAGACTGTTTCTAATTTAAATGACTTCCTTTCTGTACTGCAGTTTCTAATTGGACAATAAAACTTAAGACCAGTAGTGGCCATCATTCTGACACAGCTTACCTGCTGGATTCTGAAATACTCCGTATATACATCAGCACCTTTTTAAAGAAACTGGTTACCATGTAAGTTTGTAATGGTGTGAGTTTGCCTTAAAATATTTACAGAATTCAGCATTTACAGCGAAAATCGTTCTAAGTTTTAAACTATATATTTCACACAATCTAAAAAAAA